AAATATAGGGATAGTACAAGATTACAAATTAAAAAACTATCTCCCCCTAAAAACAACAAACAAACAGGCGTGTGCATGTCCATAGAAGATTCTTAGCCATGTAGATTTCTGTAAGGCACATATTTTGATCACCTATAGTGAAAATGTGAGCATGTTGTCTTTTATCTGCATTTCTATCTCTGGAAATCAGTTCTAAAATCCTCCAATTCCAGGCAAACACTTGCAGGGGGAATCTGTTACCATGTATCAAGAAGCACTGGTCCTGAAAAATCCCGTCTTATCTCTCCACATAGCTTTATAGCTATCCTATTGGCTCAGGCTTTGGGGCAGCTTCAAATGTAGTATTTTGCAGAGAAGATGCCAACTTCTCCTGTCTCTTATAGAAAGAGTGAAACCAGAAGACATGTATGTAAGATTGGATTTGGGGCAATATGTGCAGATGGCAGCTGAGACTGAGGGCTGATGCGAGGAAGTCTGGTGGGATTTCCAAGACCCACCGTCAAAAGTCCTTAAGACAGCCACGGAGCATCCTCTATGTTGAAGCCTGTCTTTTGCATACGTGCTCCCATGCTGCAAAGCCACCAGGAGGTCACAGATCGTGCAGAAGGATCAACACAATGACACGGGCTGATGACAGGTTGACATCTAGGGTCATGCACCAGTTTTCTTTGGGGATGCCCATATAGACCAGAAGAGTTGCATCAGCAAAATGTCACTGAAAGCTGTCACCAAATTCAACAGACAAGGCAGAGCACCACTCACTAATACACCAATAGCCTAAGAAGTCAAGAATCCGTAATGCCTTTCTGCAAGGCTGCAAAGTGCTTCTTGATCCAAACATAGAATCATAAACCCTACAGAGATTCGAGGCGCCAGGATTCCTCATTCCTGTGATGTTTTCCCAAACATCCCCATTCTTGAATAGTTTTAGCCAAACTGAATAGTAGCACCAATAACCAATGCTGAGAAGAAGAGTGAAAACAGGGACGTGCAAATGAACGCCCAGCCTGAAGAGACACTTCTCTATTTTTGCAAGAAGGATATAATAAAGAATCATTGCATGGGGGCAGTGTAGCTTCTTGGCTATAGTTAGCAGCACACACTCGAGTCCGAGACATCTGCGACCTAGTTCTAGCCCCATATCCTGGGACATTTGACAACTGAGCCTCGGTTTCCTCACTGAAAACAACAAGCTTATTCATTGTACCTAACTGCACTACAAGGTTGAAGAAAAGATTAAATTAAATATATATGTAGGGAATTCAGTGCACAGCCTGATACAGTAAGTTGTGAAAATGGTAGCTACCTATACAATAAAATTATTATCAGCATTACTAATTTTAATTAGGAAATGTTTTTCAAAAGTGATCTCTTTGAATTTAACGTGTGTGTCATCTGATCTGGAAGTATAATAAGGGTATCTAATTCTTTCTGGTTTAGTGAGTCAAACAGAAAACCAAAACAAATTGAATCATTCAACTGGTGTATTTAGAATTGCTGATGATTATAGCATTCAAGAAAGTCAGCGAAACACAGAAATTGCAATTCAACTGTTCTTGAAAATCTCCAAAATCAGTTTTCATTTGTGTAGTCTAACGGTGGATAAGGCTTATTCATTTTTTAAAAAAAATATATTTGGAAACTTTTTAAAAAGAGGCATCATGTAAGTTGAACACAGAGGGGATAAAAGATGCTAATGGAAGGAGAGGACACCAAATTCTTCGATGTCCTATATGAAATTTTAAAATGAATGTATGATGCTTGCATAGCTATGCATACTTTAATGGAAAATGCATGTCATCAGCATTTTATTTCATCATTCATTCACACACACACAAGCATGTGTTACCCTCCTTGTTCCAAACACTAATTCAAATAATACGCCAATCATCAAATTTTGAGAGGGGATGATATATATATATATATATATATATATATATATATATATATATGTGTGTGTGTGTGTGTGTGTGTGTATAGTATATATACATTCATACATATACCTGTGTATATATACATAAATATACATTTCATATATCTATATATAGATATATGAAATTTTTAGGGTATTAAATTTTATATTTATTAGTGTTTTAGCTACATTTATGTGCATGTAAACTTCTGGTACCACACAAATCAGAAGAGGGTGCTGGATAACCCCAATAGTCTGAGCCTCTACAGGGGTGCTAGGAATTGACTCTAGGTCTTCTGGAAAAACAAAACAAAACAAGTGCTCTAGACTGGTGACCATCTCTCTGTCTTCTCAATATGTAAGTTATGAGACTCCAGGACACCGAGTCAGCAGTATCAAAGGTCCCAGTGCCGCCTCATTTGTGTTGACTGTGTTCAATTCTCAGAGTGCTGTAAAACAGGACGACTGTTTGCTGACAGTTTATACCACCAGATACCAACTCAGGCCTCTGTCCAGCTTTATGTTGTCAACATTCACAGAAACATGAGCAGTTACAACGTCTCCGAGGATGCTCAAGTCTGGATTGTAAAAGATGAGATGGATAGATTTCGTATTTTCATTGCAGATTGTTTTTTTTTCTTTAACAAACTGCTGAGCATAATTTTTTAAAGGCAGGAAATACAGCTAGTGTTTGTTTCTAGCATGGCTTCTGTTTTGAGATTTCTTCTTTGTAGGAGAAATGTGTTGCCCAGCTGTCTAGAATCCCAGTCAGGATATGGTTTCAGCGTGAGCTATCTTACAAGAATGATTTTAGCTGCTTACAAACAGAATAAAAATGAGACTGAGCTATTTCGTGCAAATTTTTACCCACAGAGGGACACTGTGGCTTAGACCAATGGGACTTACATGAAGTAATGTAAAGTTGAATTCTGTGTTTTGCCTAGCCAAATTAGTCAATATGCAGAGCCCCTAAAGATTCATAGAAAGAAAAATTATGGGACAACTAGTCAAAGAACTAGTCAACACACATAAGAGGTTTTCCACCTGAACTTATAGAGAAACAGTTTAATTTTTACCAGTTTTAATGCCTCTACCTGCAGCATTCACAGGAACCAACATATAGAGGATGTACACATAACATCCCCCCAGACACACAGAAGCACATGCACACAGAAGCACACACACATACGCACACAGAAGCATACACACTCATAGTTGCACAATACATAGGTAGCACAGACATACATACTTACTCCACCGTTATTAATACAGGGATGCCTCGAGACTAGCACTGGTTCATGGAACAAGAACATCAGCAAAACAGGGACATGTTGGGTGTGGCGCACAACTGTCCATAAACCCCAGCTCCAAGAAGATCCAGTGCCTCTGGCTTCTGTGGGCATGAGCTCTCACGTTCACATGCCCACACAAACCACATAATTAAAACAACAAAATTTATCTCTTTTAGAAACACAAGAAAGATTCAAATCCAAGCTCATATCGAGATTTGTGGAAGAGGCAGGTGTTCCAACCCCTTTATTCTATTTTTTTAAGGTCAAGACCTTCATGTTTTAATGCTTCTTGGTATAAAGCCCATGTGTACATTTGATTACATTCTCTCTAAAAATAAGACCAATGGGTCTTAGCAGAGATGAAATTTTAGAGAGTAGATATGAGTATCCTATTATAAATTCAGTTATCAAGCGTGTGAAGAGAACATGGAAAAGATAGACACCCTAGTTGTCTAGTTATGAAATGTACAAACTACTTAAATATCACCCTGAGGTCATTTAGGCATCCTATTCTTCTTTTCCTAATGTTCTTAGTTTTATTTTTTTTTTCATTAATAAACTTTCTAAGAGTAGCTTCAGGCTCTTAAAAAGGCTGACCAGCACATACAGTTAACAAGAGCTCCCTCACACCTCCCAGAGAGTCCCCTAGTGTTAGCACTTTGTATTAACAAAGTAACTTTGTCACACCTAATGAGCTTGACATGTTATTGTTGACAGCTTTCCCAGGTTTATGCTAGCCTTTATTCTCTGTGTTATCTATTTTATGGGTCCAGCTAATCTATAACAACATACACACACAATGCTGATGTTACACAGAATTCTTTAACTGCTCTCACATTCTGTGCTCACTCTACTTCTCTCCCAAATTCCTTGTTACCACTAATCTTTCCCTATCTGTACAGTTTTCCTGAAATGCTGTATAGTTTTCCGTGGGTAGCTTTTGGCCTTATCCATTCAGCAATACACATCTAAGGTTCTCCCAGGTCTACTCATGGCTCAATAGGTGGTTTCTATCCATCACAGTAATATTCCATTATATTAATTTACCACATATTTTAGTTCAATCATATTCTGAGACATACCTTATTACCTTCAAGTTTTTATTCATCCCTTTCAGGGGCTGGACCAGGGTCTCATACATCATGCATGTGAGGCAGACATCTCACTCCTGAGCAACATCCTGACCCTATCTTCAAGCTTTTCCAAATAGGAATAAAGCTGTAGATATTTGTGTGTGGAATTTTGTGTGGAAACAACAGACATTACAGAGAGTCTGTATCTGCTGGTAAAGACCCAAAGAGGTGCGCCATTATGTTTTCTCTCAAGGGGTGTTAACCTTATCTTGTTTCTTGATTTACATTTCATTAACAACATACACATCTTCCATGTTTTCTTTTTTGAGCATTTGTGATGTGGTTCTTATGTTTTCAATCATATGCCCATTGTTCCCTTCATCAACACATATCAGGAACCTCTTATAACCCAGTAACAGTTTTTCAAAGCTGAGCTATTTTTTCTTAATTTATTATTTATTCTGTTTTCTATTTTTTCATTTCTTTATTCAACACATTGTTGATTTTACATGAGCTATTAGTTTGGCTTTCTAGTCTATGTCGTTTCAGATACCCTGTTATGATTTATTTTTCTGATAATTGTTCAATTATTCCTTGATTTCTGCATTTTGTGTGCTCCCCTCAAAACATTGGTTACTGACTGTCTGTTCATTGTGTGCAGTTGCCTGAGCACAACTAGAGATGTGACTTCTGAAAAGTGTTTGAAGTAAAGAAATCACTTACCTTGGTTGACAATAAATTTTAACTTCTGTATTGTTGCCAGATTGCCACTAACTCGATATATTCCATCAACATCTAGGCCTGAAAACAAAATAGCATATTTCAAACCAGCACATAGAAGAACTGAGAATATAAACAAATAATGATGAAGTGTATTGTACATGATTGTTAATACCCCTTCTCCACAGAGAAGACTAATTTCGATGACTTCAACTAAAACAATGCTCAAAATTTTAATCTCGCAATTTTTGTCATAAAGTTCTGGGACAATCAGAGTCAAATACAACTTTCATTAAAGCAAACACAAAAACCCATGCAATTGCATGGCATATTTAAGATGATTCTTAAGACAAGCAGAAAAAAGTTAGGAAAAAAAGAACGTGCATGTGTGTGTGTATGTGTCTGTGTGTGTGTGTGTGTGAATGTAACTTCCCTTATTGGAAAGATAAAATAATTAGACATGTATGAGTTGTTTTCCTCTCTCTTCTTTGTTTTCATTTTGTTGCTCTCCTTCTATCCCCCATCCTTCTCCTTCTCTCTCTCTTCATTCCCAACCATGCCCCATTTTGCGTCTCTTGCAATCACTGTTACTTGGCATGTATTAGTCTAATGCTTGAGCTACAGAGTAAACAGTCATTCAATGTATGACTAGTTTCTAGCATGTTCATATAATAAGATATTATATTATAAAAAGAAAATATGGAAAATTCTGGCCTATTGCTCTATGAGTTTCAGATCATTTTGGAACTGGTCATCAAAATATTGTAGGGAACTTTGGATAATCACTTGTTTGATTTTGTATGATATGCTTATCATATCTAGCCATTTTAACAGCTAAGTCTCTAGGATTCTTAATAAATGAGAAAATATACAGAGATACTTATTTATGTACTATTATTCTCTCCAATAAATGTTGATGTTTTAATTTTTGTTTTAGGAGTATCATGTATCTAGGCTATCAGACAGATAAGTTTGGGTGAGATTACTGGCCAAGGGCATGGGCCATTATCCCAGCATCCTCTCCAAGGAGGTGGTGTCAAATCATTGTTAATCATGGGGATCCATGATAATAAGTGTTAAATAAGTTGAAAGAAATTCATTATATTTTGTAACAAAGACATTACAAAGATCTTTGATGACACGAAATGTCATTCCTCTGGTTTGCCATTTCTATACTTCTACACATTTTAAATTAGGACTTTTTGTGTTGTGCAAAACATTTCTTCATTAGCTTACAGTAGGATAATGCAATTTATGTCACAGGCATCGGTGACATAAGGCAGAGCAACTATTGCCAGTGCCCTGAACTCTTCTAAAGTAATGAACTAAAGTAACTTGTGACAATAGCAGAGGAGTAGAGTTGCTATTAGCAAATGTCTTAATTGTTATGGGTTGGGAGTTGCAGAGTAAGCTAATGAACAATACATTACTGAGACGCTTCCCCTTTCTGAGAAGTACAAACTTCTCAGAATACAGAAGAACTGGATGGAGTGAGACATCTATCTGTAAATAGAAAAACCACCCAAGACGTAATTCACTTTATAAACATCAAACAATTTTTTCTTCCCAATGTGCAAACTACCTCTATTGCCTTAAAGGAACCTACTGTGTTTGCCCAAAGTAGAATGAAAAATTGACATATTGAATGTGAAAATCATAATTAACACTTTTCTTCTAATATATGATTCCTGCTTTCACTCCAGGATCCAGTTGTCCTTATACTTGTGTGTTTAAGTTTGAATGATAAAAGATTAATTTAGGATGATTTACTGACCAAATTTTAGCTAATATAACTAAATTTTCTTATTGCTTCATCAGAAAGTAGTTGGCATTTTGTCTTAATTTGAAAACTCTAAAACAATATGATTTATTTTAAAGGTTAGAATTTGTACGTGGAGCCCGGCGTTGGTGGCACACGCCTTTAATCCCAGCACTTGGGAGGCAGAGGCAGGCAGATCTCTGTGAGTTCAAGGCCAACCTGGTCTACAAGAGCTAGTTCCAGGACAGGAACCAAAAGCTATGGAGAAACCCTGTCTCGAAAAGTAAAAAAATAAAAAAAAAAAAGAATTTGTACATGGTTGTGTACTCTTTTAAAAATGTTTCTTTTATGAACATATAAACAACTGCAGATGATGATTTTGAATTTTCTGCATTATTGGTGGTGCAGTAGTGTCTATAGAACAAAGTTGAGGACAGCAAGTTGGGGCAGCTTTGGAAGAGTTGGGATTCAGATATAGCCTAATGTCATTCAGATGAAGAATGATGCGCAGTTTCATCTTGTCTCCCAAAATAAAATTTATCCAAATGAAAAGTACCCTAATTATTCTATAGGTTACCAGTTATTTGAAAGGAATTCAGAGAAAAAATATTTTTAGGAAAAAAAATGTGAGTCTATGTTCTGTAAAGGAGGGTTTCAATTTATCTTTAAAAGAATAAAAGATCTCAGTTAAAAGAATTATTAAAGAGGAAAAGTCAATCTGTATCTGGTAAAAAATGAGTACACTGACTTTGTATTTATTTATTTGTTTGTTTGTTTGGCTGATTTATAAGAAGTCAAAGATACGTGAAACAAATCCCAAACAATAGGATATGAATCATAACTTTTTCCTTAAGCCTCATATAAAATCAAGTACATTTTTACTTTTTGTCTAACACTCATAATAGTATTTTAGGAGTATTTAGAGTGTCTATGCTGTCTTGTGCTGTAGACTGATATTCAACTGCGACAGTTCCTCGGAATCCCAAGTTTTGTTTTTCTCACGTGTAAGTTGAAGTTGCAACCGAAGAAACAATGGCCTTGGTCTTTTGAAAATTTCTGTAGAATTTTTTTTTAAATGTTCAATAATCAAAAACATTTGAAAGAGTAGCATGGATTGGCTATATTACAACTGAACAATATGAAAGTATGGCAGCGTTTAAAGAAAACAGCCTTATTCTACCTTAATAACCTATTTTCTTTAGGGACGAAGGCAGGGTGTGCTGCTGATGGAGATGGAGAGGCTAATTCAGACCTGAGCTGCTGCTGTGGTTGCGTGACTGAGTCATAGCTGAGAAACTGTCTTGTGGCTTCAGTTAGCAACCAGAAAGTAAGAGGGAGCCGAGTAAAGCGTTTAGTTGCAACATGAATCTACTGACACAGCTTCTCCGTCCTTTAGATGCAGAGATAGCAACATCATACATCTTGCAAATTATAATAATCTCGACCTTAGTGGCTCCCGCTCTGAGCAGGTTCTGCCCTGCCACTGCGATCATACGTTTTAAATTGTGTAAGTAGGGTGAAAATGGCAAAGTGTATACTAACAAAGAGGGCAATGCATTTTTCAAAAAATAATCTGGAACCTATCAGTGAGGTTTAGTAATTATAAATTATGTAGGTGCCGTCTTGAAGCTGGTGAGGTCTCCCCCGAATGGCTGCAGAACGGCAAGCTTAAAATCCTGGGAGCATTATCTCAATTGCCGTTATTCACGTGTCATTCCCTTTTTACTCCAAGAACTTTGAAAGTTGTGCCAAACCAAACCAATGTAAATTGGTGGCTTTGGACATCCTTTTCATGACCACATTATCTTTGCTGGATGGGGAACCGCTCATTTTGGAAATAAAGTCTGTCTTGGTATGAGTTTTAAATGAGTGGTGTCTTCAAGGTACCCACATTGTGCTTTGGTGGAGCTTGGACAAATTACTTTGAGAGTTACCTCTTTGCAGTAAATAACACGAGTGAAGGCTGACAGAGGTTTTTGCTTGCCCTGCTAGGAATACACTGGGAACATGAGGAGACCAAGTCATTACACTTTTGTTTTAAAAAACCAGACTGGAATGAACAGGATTACAAAGATTTCTCAGAAGAGAACCACATTCTCTGAAGTATCATTTGCTTACTCACCAGCTGACTTTTTATGTTTCAAAACAGCGTTTACCACTGGCAGAAATCCCTGGGTGTTGCCGTAGGGGATTTTAGAAACTTGTTCCTTTTTTTTTTTTTCTGAAGAAGAAGCTTAAGGTGGGATAGATGTAGTTCAGACACAGTGCTGGCAAGATGCTGAGAAGGAGGGACTGAATTTGTTTAGCTTTGTATTCCTTAATCATTTATTGACCATTTGCCAATTGCTGCTTATTGTATGTGTTGACTCAAAGTCGTGACATTCTATACGATGCCACTGTAGAGAATTGTGTATTCTGTAGGATATGACTGCAAAGAACTGTGCCTACTTATATTGTCTCATAATAATGTTTCCTCTGTTTTGTTGTCTTCACATGTGCGATCTCATCTGCTCTCTGTCTTCTTGGAATCTATTTGTGGTGTGCTATTGGCACTTTTTCTGTTTTGCAGGGAATTCTTATCTTCTTCCCTCTGTCCCTCTTTCCCTCCCTCCCTCCTTCCCTTCCTCCCTCCCTTCTTCCCTTCCTTCCTTTCTGTTTTTTTTTTAACAAGTATATCCTTTTCATCTTCTTATTAGGATTTTTGAGAAAGAAAGTCAGATTTTTTTGATGTGACTACCATCTTGAATTAGATGTTTGTATTGGTTTTCTAGTGACTGAATCTTTAATGATGAAAAAAATCTTCATTCAAATTCTGACATGTTGCTATGAGTGTTTTTACTGGTACATGGTATAAAAAGGATGGTTGATTACATTATGATTATTTGAATTTCCTGTTATGTTACTACACTTTAATATTAAGAGAATATGCTGACTAAGGGTCCTATTTCAGTACATGTTTCATGACTTTTATTTTTTTGTATTCATGATTTTTATTATGTTATAGAAATGTTATTGTCTTTATATTTTTAATGTCCCCTAAAGACTTAGGGTTTTCACACTCACTTTTTTCATTAACCTTTTTTTAAAAATTTTCTCTCTGTTTTTGGTTATTAGTCCTATTTTCTTATATATATGTTTGGGGTTCTTGTTTGATAGAAACGATTAATGCAAAATGATTTTCCTTTTAAGGCAATAACAAAATTCTTATTTTCAAATATTCCTTCACTTTTCTCATTTATTTATTTTTGCTTAAGATAATTGTGAAGGTTTCCTTGGTATATTTTATGATTATTTACTTGAGGAAGAGTTTTTCATCAATGAG